TACAAATCTTGTGTAATCCCAGGCTATCTGTAATCAGAAGCACATTTAAAACTGGAATATAATTTAATTTCATTCACATGTGTTTCATAAACACATAATCCTTTCTGGATTACAATCCGCCATCAAAATGATACATTTAATTATTCCAGCTGCTGTGAGAAAAGGCTATAAACGATCAGCCACCTGCAGGATCCTCACATGCGATAGCCTACTAGCCGGGAAAGTAATGACGCAGCGGCATGCTCGAATTTCCCGCGAAAACCAACCCGTACCATTCAAATTAGAAAACATTATTATAAGCTGACCGTTGTGAATCGGGCTAAAGTAAGGCGATAGTTTTGAACACTGGCTGGTTATGTACTTGCTCAAATATTGATTTGGGATCATTTTTAACCAAAAAAAGTTACGGACTGCAGCTTTAAACTAAGAAATGATTGCAATCTTGCAATGGATTGTGGGCGGGATTTAAGTGGACTAAATGATTGGAAAATTCCAACTGATTGAGTTAATACATTTTGATTGAACATTACATGGTCAAAAAAAAAGATGAAATATAGGCCTACATGGATGAATCATTCACTGTAAGATCTATAACATGCATTTACAAAACTGATAAATTTAAAACAAAATTGTTATATTCATTTAGTTGATTTTACTCTGAATTTATGGACAACAAAGTTTTTTTGTAGTCAAAATAAAAACAAAAACTTTAACGAACATTTTCATGTGTATTTTGTTCTACCCAGGCCCATTGGATTTCTGCAAAACTCAAAAAACATACCTATATGTACAAATCACAGCAGTTTTCCTGTTGAAATGTACACTAGAGGCAGTAAAACAACACACATTATGATTTACAGGGCCAGTTTTGTTTAAGAAATCCTAATTTCCACACAATTCCTTGCACAATATTATGCTACGACTTAAAAATAATGTTAACATGCTGTGAGATTTAAAAACGTCTCAGGTTACGTATGTAACCCTAGTTCCTCGAGGGAACGAGACGCTGCATCGGAAACGCTAGGGGAACGCCTTCTGTGACCACGCTCTGAATAACGTGAAATCAGTCCAATAGCTGAGCGGGACGTCACGGGCGGGTGACGTCATGACCAGGAAGCTATAAAAGCACGTGCGGCGGAGCCAGCGTCAGCTTCAGGAATGAGGCAAGCGCTGGCAGGGATGCCGGAAGTATGGCACCGAGACACAGCGTCTCGTTCCCTCGAGGAACTAGGGTTACATACGTAACCTGAGACGTTCCTCTTCAGGAACTCGAGCTGCGTCGGAAACGCTAGGGGAACGAGAATGCCCACGCCGCCAGACTTCCAAATCTCTGCCTAGTGTGGAAGACTGCACAGCTAGGGCAAGAGAAGTAGGCGGGGCCCGCCATCCCGAAGGCCAACTTCTGGAGGAGTGAATCTTGACCCCCAAAGGACAGGGGAGATCAGAGGACTCGAGTCTATGGAATAGCATCCTGATCCACCACTTAGCATAAGCTTCTCTGGCCGGAGGCCTCGGCCTCAGCGCACCGCAGAGGAAACGTGTAAGAAGA